GGTTTCTTGTTTTAACATGGACCAAGCTGGTACTAAAGTGTTCTGACTGACAGTGATGCTGCTGGGGGCCATGGTTACCAAGATAGGGTAGGTTTATAGGATATGGTACCATAGACTGAAAGGAGCAGTATGTAAGATTTTCATGTAAAGTCATCATTAAATGACCAAAGTCTGCCAAAAGGCATTAATAAACCATGCTCTTTTCAAACACGTCTTTAACTGATAACAGTAGTTCAGGGATAATCGAATCTAAGAATTAGTTTTACAGCCTCTAAATCTTTTTAGAATTGTTTTCATTTCGATGTCCCGCCCTCCACAGTTTTACCATTCAGAAAGTCTGTGATCTGGGATGCCAGAACTCACAGCATCGAGCTAATCTCACTGACATGTGGCTGCAGGACTAAAAAGGTCTTGTTATGATTCTCAAATCATTAACGACAAAAAAGGGATAAAAAAAGGATTTCTATCTTTGTGAAAAAGATGTTGGTTATAGATTTGTTGTTGACAAAACTCTTGTCTATTCAGCTGTTATGGTCCCAGCTGGATTTGTCTGCATATCTGGCAACCTGAGTCAGGGAGAGTGGAAGAGGATACAGTACCACTTTTGGCCAGATTTTTACATACAGCTCCTTTAAAGATTTATAAGTATTTTCTACTTCCGGGTTAATCATAGACTAATGGTCCACCCACTTGTCAATCAGTCTGGTGATACGTGCTCGCCACAGTAAGACCAGATAGTTTTGTTCAAAAACTAGAGAGGGGGGTTTTTCCCTAAAAAATTGGGTAACTCCTCAAGTAAACCTTTAACCGCCGTATAAAAATAACCAGGGTAGACTAGAGACGGCCTAAGTAGGACTGGTGGAAACAGGAAAATACATACCCCAGCTTTAAGAGAGGACATAGAATCAAAACTACACTTGTTTATTCCAGGGCGGAGTGCAACAACCTTTAACTCAACCCAAGAAAAACCTTTTAATATTTAGGAGAGGACATTTAAGGACAGACGAGCAAAAAAAAAAAAACACATACGATGCTCCTGACATCACAAACGCAAATCCTTGTGAAATGCACCCAATTAAAAGCTTCTTCCATTTTTCTGCCGTACTGTAATCGTGGCCTGATTTGCGGTGCGGCTCACCTCCTCTGCGCTGTAAGTGCTTGGAGTTATGACCTAAAACACTGCTCCTGTGTGCGGTCCTCATTAGGCAGAGTGCTTGGACCGGGCCCGTGTCTGCCGCTTCTGCCGCTGCTATTTTTGGAGGCACCAGGGCACACAACCTCCGTGATTGTGCAGCCTCGGCACAATCCTCCTCATGTATAATAAATGCGTGTCCCGAGGATAAAGCGCTCGGCTCGCAAATAAGCTGCGTTTTGAGAAGATAAGAACACCTTTAGAACTTCTGCATGGGTTTGATTGGAGATGTATCAAACAAGAGAGAGAGAGAGAGGAAAAAGCATGTGCAGATCCATCCGTCCATTTTTAAAACTATAAGCTGGGATAGATTTCAATAAGAGATGTATGATAACAAATACTGATTTAAATCTGGTGATGTTCATTGGTAAATAACTGGTTTCTTGTAATAAAGTAAAGGTGGTCCAATAAAGTCATTATTAGGAAGATTCTCGTATTATCTCATCTGTATATATGTCCTTAAATCCATTCATTGTTACTTTAAAACGTGAACAGTTGATGTATATGTCCCATTTGCTTTGATTTAGTTCTGGAGAAAATAGGAAGTAGAGTAGAGTAGGAGTAATTCAGTATGCTTGAAGAAACCAGTGGTGGGATTAAGTATGTTTTCCAGTATCTGCAAGTGTTTCTGTCTTGTGTATATAATATTTATCATTTTGTATAATGTAAATGTACTTGTACACTTAATTGCTCAAAATAAACTTATTATTATGGCAACTTTTGTCCTGCCTTTTGTCCCATTGTGAAATTACAGCTGGACTTGATCTCCAAATGCCATCTATTGCGTATGACCCTTATGTTTGCCTCTGCTTTCATTTAAATGAGTGGTGGTATTTTATATGAATAATGTCAAGGTTTTTACATTTCAGCCAACAAAAGCGCTACTCAAATGAGAGCCGCATTCTGCTCTCTGATTGGATAATCTGCAAGACAATTGTAAACATAAGTATTGTGGATATCATGTCCATTGTATTCTTAATTCACTTTTATTTAGAGAAGGTCTAGCATGATTTAAACATGCAACAATAAACAGATTATAAGATGTATTCAAACGATCACATACAGTCCCTCAAGGTCACCAAAGCCATGTGTGTAAAACCTTTTGGACCAGAATGTCTATAATCCTGGAAAAGAACAATCTTTTGAACTGCTGTTGTGGTTTTGGGTTAAAACTTAACAGATTGTGTCATGTGTGGTGATGACAGAAACTCAACTTGCAATTAGACACCCATTCCACGACAAGCATGCAACATTTGTGACATTCCAAGCAAAAAAACACTAAAACATGTTCACATCAGTAATAATGCATTGACAGACGGAAGACAAGAGTCCATCTAGTGGTGGATAAAAGCCACAGCAGGTCTTATATAACCACAACCTTGTACAGTTGTTCTTTACTAATGAAAGCAGACGTCTAATGCATTATTGAATTCTTTGCAGTGGGGGAAAAGATTACTTCAAATCGTCAGCAGCAGAATTCATTTCATAGAAAATAATGAAAATGTGCTTTTAAAAAAAATCATTTCTGCTTGTCAAATAATATTTTAGGCATGACACAGGAACTTGTACCTTTTTAGGTTGATCGAATGAAAACACACATTGTGATTGATTTTGCTGATCACAAATGCACAGCTTCTCACAGCTGTAGCCCCATCGCACCTGTTTCAAACACAATAAATAGGCCACGACTTTCTTTCCATCCGTTCATAAAAAGGGTTGAGATGGTGCGGCTGGGAGGTGGGATGGAGGGATGAGCAGTTTGCAAAAAGAGGTGTTTTCACAGACACTTTGACTGTTTCTCAGCCCTCCCACAGAGAGTGTGTTGAACTGGAGCAGCTTTGATCACCTTCGCTCGTGCAGTGAATATATCCGTCTGGTCTTTTTATAATGAGGATCAATCTGACTCAATAATTATATGTCATTTCTCATTGAGCTGCACGGTTTTGGAAAAATAATATCTCTTTGCGAATTTTCAGGTTAACATGTGACTGCGGGGACGATTTACGGTACATGTTTTTAAGTTAAGACAGACTTTATTGATCTCACACTGGAGAAATGTAAGCATGCATAAAGTAAAGAAGCATAAATTATACACACAAAACACAATACAACACAATATTTTTATGCTTGAAAAACTGTCTTTTTTTGGAGAATACTCATTATAGTATCACTGTAAAGCAGATTTACCAATGGAAGTTGAAACCAGCAAAAACAATCTATATTTCAGATAAGATAAGATAAGATAAACCTTTATCAGTCTCACAGTGGAGAAATCTCAGTGTCATCGTTGCGCACATTACAGCAGAGAAAGGAAATAAGAGCACTCAGATTGCACACATCAAAGTCTATTATTTAAGATAATAGACAATAAATTTAAGATAAAATAAAATAAAATAAGATAAACTCTGGGCTATAATTGCACTTGGTTCGGAGTATTTACAGATGTCTATATTATACATTAGCAGCGGAGAATATGAGAATATAGGCAGAATAAACATCAGAAATAGTATCAACAGGTAAAGTGACTTGAATGGGAGAATTATCAGATGGATAATTGAGAAAACAATAGGCTAAAGATACGTGTTAATAATGAATATGACTTTTAAAGAGCTTTCCACGACACCTAAAGACAATTCACATTATTCATTCAGTCCATACAATTCTACTGCAGATGTTATTACCCTAACCCCCCACCATCCTCATCCCCCATCACCAATTTATCACTATTTATTACAATGAAAATCTTGGTATTTCAGCCCCGGTTCACGCACGCACCAGACTTACACCAAGCAATGAGGGAGAAGTGTCTTGCCTAAGGACACAACAACAGTTTGGCACTTTAAAGCCACAGCCACCCCACTGTGGCACCTGCTGTTTCACAGTACAAACCAGGCGCTTCCCTGATTAGCTTCTGAGATCTGTTGGCCTTTCACATGTAGGGGTTCCATTGGAAATATTAATCTGAGTCAAATTATACAACTTTATACCAAAAAAAAAAAAAGTCATGTCATTTTCTTTCGATTGCTAAAAAAATTATCATACAATTTTGTACTACTACATTGTAATTGATTTTTTTCCTCCTCAACTTTTTTCCCTAAAGCACTTTGTGATTCTGGTCTGGGAAAAGCGCTACATAAATACAGATTACCTACTGACTTATTCAACTTCAATCTGTTTTAATTATTTATTGTCTTTGTACTGAAGGCTATTTGTTTTTGTTTTTTGCATCCACAGAAAATGCTATTGGATCGCGATCAATCGTGCAGCCCTAACTTCTTACTACCATCCAAACCGATCTCTACAGTTATTGTGAGGACTAATGCTTATAGCTGAGGATTAGTTAGAGGAGTCGATCTGTGGAATGGTCTGGATGACACGCTAAAATAAATAAACACAGGATTTCAAAAGAATATTTAAATGTAATGTTATGAGAAAATATTGAGCAATAGAGTGAATAATTTAATTCTATGATCCTTTGTCCTTTAGTCTATACAGCATCGTAGAGCATTCCATTTGCATTTTTATACATAGAACTGTGTATATGTTTCATTACTGATTTTCTAAATTCATTTTATATCCACAAAATAGTTTAAATCGACCTTATTCTTTAGGCTGAATGCTGCTGTTTTGCCGTTTCTTGGCTTATCTAAGTTGTAGTGATAGGGTTAGGCTTAGACAAGTGCTTCATCAACCTAAACCATTTTTGTTTTCATTGCCTTTTGGAATTTGACGTGGCCTGTATCATCTGTTTGAGATTGCAAAATGACTGAATAAAAATACTGAATGACAAAACGTATCCAGAACTCACCGTCTTCAGCGGAGGCGTCGCTGCTGTAGCCGTCATACTGTGCCGTCAGGAGGCTGTACTTGTGCCGTGTGTCCCAGCTGAAGCCTCCCAGCAGCCTGGAGCGGGGCCGCGGCCTCAGCCCCTGGGAGCGGCTCACTGCCTCCTGGTACTGACCCATCAGCTCGTCCTCGCTGTCCGACGACGAGGCCTGCAGCTGGGCCTCTCTGCATGACTTTTCTGCTCCCACAAAAAGACCATTTTAGTTTTGGTTATTCTACATGTTCGCTTTTTTATCGAGGGTAAGTGGTTTGCTTTAAATCTCTGAAGGTTTGACATGTGAAGGTCTAAAAACAAGGTCTGTTTTTAGTTAGTAATCAAATATGCAGAATAGATAGTAGTAGTTGCTGGCTGCACCTCTGGAATGTAATCTCACTCATTCTCAGAGCGGCCTGGTGCTGCAATTTACAACTATTTTCATCAATCCATCCATGAGCCGATTGTTCTTTCAATTTATATATTCATTGTTTTCTGGAAAGCTCAGTAAATGAAGGATTTTTATACATTTGACTGAAACAAAACCCTTTAAAAAATCTTCATAGACTCAGTATGTTTGAATCTTATTTACCAAATGACTATGGTTGATATTTTGATAATCGATTAGGCTGTTACATTAATTTACTTACGCAGATTTATCCCAATGAGCACTCACAATAAAATCTTGGTATTTCAGCCCCCGTCAAGCAAGTGATATGTATTTATATAGCCCATTTCACAGCCCATGGTCCCACAAGATGCTTTACCGTTTTGTTGTACTGGGACACACAGTGAGGACAGGAGTAAGAGGCCGAACGTTCAAGAATGAGGCATCAAAGCCACTATCACTGAGTATTCTCTCAATACAGAGGGAAATAGTACATTTTTGCTATTTTCTCATTTAAATGTTTAAGAACCGTTAGTTTGGTTAAGGTGAGGGTAAGGCTATAGGTTTCTGCATGAGAAAATACCAAGATTTTAGAGAATCAAAATCCTTTTTTTTGCCATGTAAGTAACAGAAAGTCACAGACTAGAAAATTGCCTTGGCTCTCTGTGCAAACAAGTCAAAAGTAGAGAAAGAATAAGGCATAAAAAATAATGTCTAAAGTACAACATTATCTAAAATATTTTAAAAAATGTAGGTCCGCATCGCAACATAAAATTCTATAATAGAAATATTTATGTTGCATTGTTGAAATGTTGTTATGGCAACAATGGTCTCTGGCTTTTAAGGCTCGTCTTGGCTGCAATGACATATTTCAACCAACAAGTGGCAGTAGAGCTCCAAGGTTCAGCGTGACTGTTCTATAAACACAGAAACTAATCTGAATGTCACTACATTTTTGGTATAAGGTAAAGGTAATAGTTTTAATTTCTATTGTAATTCAGATAAAAAATAAATAAATAAATAAACATTATGTATTTGCAGGATAAACAAGTAGGGAGGAGGCTGAGGTCTGAAAACACACAGAGAGGAAAAAATAGCAATTATAGAATTTACTAAAGCCCCAAAAGGAAATTTTTTTATTCATCACCAAGAAGTAGCAACTAATATTTAAAATAATAGTCTGGAGGGATGAGTATGAGTTAAAACACATTCTCCTGTCTGCTGTCTTCTTGTCTTCCTGTGTTTACTCAGTGGCCTCAGAGCAGGTCCCTCTGGGGGGTCCCTGGGGTCACAGCCTCTCAGCCCTGAGCAGTGTCCTGTAACCAGCTCCACCGCAGCAGCTGTCAGCCTCAGTTAGTGCTGAGTGAGAGGAGAAAGGCCACCGCCACAGGACCACGACCTCACGCTCTGTGGGCCGAGGTGAGGAGCCCGAAAATCATTACACAGAGGAGTATAGTCAAATAAGTCACCAAAATATTAAACTCAGTACTTTTGAAACCACTGTGATTTTCAGCTGCTCATTTTGAAAGCTCAGAAAAAAAATCATAAAATTCTTCCTCCAGGTTTTCAAATGAAGTTCATAATTTAAAGCAGTGGAAGAAGCTGGAATTCAAGCTAATCAACGATGGTCATGAACAAAAAGAAGAATCTGAAAATAAGACCAATATTTAGACACTCTCTTGATTAGAATAAACTGCCTTAGAGGCGGCTTCCCATTATTTTGTTTAAAAAAAAGGCTCAGGACATAAATTACTGTCCTGAGCCTAAATCAAATTAAATTAATGACTATGTTATTCACAATTTTGTAATTTCTTTGTATTTTTTGAGGATCTCAGTTGGATACTACTGTAATATCAGTTCATATCTGATTGCCGATACTTTTGACATCCTTAGATTATCACATTGAAATGAGGTTGTACATGACCTGGTACTATCATGTACAGTGATTGAGTTAGTAATACCGACTTCAGGGGTCTCCAACCAGTAGCTCATGAACCAGTAGCTCGCCAGCACCTTTCAGGTAGCTCCCCAAAGGATTTAGAGTTTAACACATGACATTTTGAGTCATTCTATATCAACTTTAAGTATTAATATAAGGTTATACAGTATTATGGCATATTTTACATCTGTGTTCTCATTTTTATATAAACGTTTATTACAACAACAAAATGGAATAGCTCTCTTCCTCTCCTGTTATATAAAAGATAGTAAGTAGTAAGTAATCTTTATATATATATACCGCCTTTTCACTGCAGATCTGAGTCTCAAAGCGGTTTACAATTGTTAATTATGGGCATTTGTCTCTCACTCCACACAGAGATGGGAGCGGGGTCGCCAGTACAGGAGGCACATGCTAGAACTATTGGACATATTTTTAGTGGTAGGGGAAACCGGAGTACCCGGAGGAAACCTACGCAGACACGGGGAGAACATGCAAACTCCACTCAGAAAGGCCCTGGTCCGACCGGGATTCGAACCCAGGACCTTCTTGCTGAGAGGCGAGAGTGCTATCCACTCAGCCACCGTGCCGCAGATGGTCTGTGATTGAGAAAGGTTGGAAGCCCCTGGCCGACTTCAACTAGGTGGGATTCCTGGTTAAGAAAAATAAGAAAAACATTTTTATATGAAAGTAATAAAATGTGTGTGCCTGTTTAAATGAAAACAACAACGCATAATGCATTAGTACATGTAGTTCTTTAAATGGCCTTGTGTATGAACTATGCCATACAAATAAACTTGCCTTGCCTAACAGTGACACAGTAACAAATATATAAGGCTTAATCAGATGTTTAAGGTAGAACTGCAGTTGTTTTTGCAGTGATAATGACCAAGAACCCTCACCTTCTGTGTTTTTCCTGAAATCGTTGAGGCACGGCAGGCTCCCTGGGTTATCGAGGGAAAACTTGTTGTTGAGGTACCAGAACAAGAAGGTCATAAGAATAATGAAGAGTCCGATGGCCGTCAGGAAGCCCAACACCTCAGGAGAGACTGCAACACACACCATGTATGAGGTTAGTAGTTAGTAAGTGCAGATATATACAGTACTGTATATATTATCAGACTATAAGCCACACCTGATTATAAGCCACAACAGGAAAACAAATGGGTTTTTTAAGATAAGATAAGATTTGCTTTATTTATCTCACATAGGAGAAATTTACATGTCACATTTGGCATGGATAGAGACACTCAGATTGTGCAAAAGGAGGAAATGTGCAAACATGTTACATGCAGGATATATGTACAATAAAGTGACAATAATTATGTGCAACAAAAGTGACAAGTGTCAATTGGAAACAGTGTCAATAGTAGTGCAGGTTTTCACACAGTGATCATTTAAAGTGACTTATTGTACAGTCTGACAGCGGTGGGGATAAAGGCCCTTTAGTATGAATACTGTATTTTTCGGACTAAAAGCCGCAACCGGTAAACAAATGGGTTTTTGATAGTATAATTACCATATTTTCCGGACTATAAGCCAGGATGACATTTTGATTGGACATCTGTGAACTACTATTTGCCGCCACTAAATAATGAGAAAATTTTAAATTAAACCGCACCCCACTATGAGGCTTATAGTCCAGAATTTACGGTAAAAGTCATGAACTTTGCAATGAGAGCAACCTTGGTTATGGTGTTAGTGGAAGCTCATCAAAGAATAAAAGCGAGGACAAATAGTAGTAGTAGTAGTAGGAGTCATAGTAGTGTTTTTAAAGGAATAGGCCACTGTTTTTACATACTGACATATGTTCTTACCTTAGACTAGTTGATATGTACCTGTGTGATCTTTGTCCGTGCGCTCTATCACGCAAACGGAGCACAAACGCAGCCTCTTCCACATTCTGTATAGTACCAAATCAGCTCCTGTTGGAAGCTACCAAACTCTTCCACGTGTTCCCTATTTAAATACAGTTACGTGACATGTTACTCTGCAAATTATAGTAACACAGAAATGTAACATGTCGATTTTCTCAGTGGATAAATGGGGAACTATATTGTGAGGCGTAATAATACGAGGAGCGCCATGTCCGAGCTGATTTGTTACTATACAGTCTGTGGAAGAGGCTGCGTTTGTGCTCTGTTTGCTTGACAGAGCACACGGACAAAGACCACACAGGTACATATCAACTCGTCTAAGGTAAGGTAAGAACATGTCAGTATGTAAAAACGGTGGCCTGTTCCTTTAAGAAATAATACTTATGGTTCTATTAAGTTGTTTAAAGGATAATATGAAAGAATGTTCTAATCTTTTCGGGGATTTGGAGCGGTGAAAACGGTGGAGCCCTGAAATGTTGAGAGGGATAAAGAATATAAAACCAACAGCAGAAATGAATACAGGAAAGAGACATAACAAAAATCTAGGAATAATTTTGTGTAAAAAGTGTAATAGATTCAGGAGCTCATGTCGCAAATATTGAGACTTTGGCGTCAAAAGGGTTAATCAAACTTATAATTATAATACAGCGAACAGCCAGCATTCTGTCAAAGACCAGCAAATGCACAAAATAAAATCAATCTATTCAAATACCGCCCAAAAACTCAATAACAGTCGATCGCACTACTTGCTTATGCATAAAAACAACCAAACAAAAACCAAAGGTCAAAAAACAGATGAACAAACGACCAAATTCTCACAGAAATCAAGCAAATACAATCAAAACATCAAGAAATATGTTATTATAAGTATGTGACAGAGGCTGACCGAGGCAAACAGCATGAAGGGTGCCAATACTGTTACCATAGCAACAGGTTAGGGACAATTTTTTAATATAGTATCTACAAATTACAGCTTAAACAAATGTGTGGATATGAAAATTTGTGGAGCGTCTCATATTTTTGACCTTGACCATGAGAGGGATGACATTCACTGACAGAAGATGCACAGCGGTACGTCGACACATTTGTGAGAATATGGCACGGCTCCAGCAGCAAAGTAATGAAACATCAGTCAAAGATTGCTCCAATTACCTTAAGACGAGATTCACCAATGGGACAAAGCAAAATGATCTTGTTTTTAAAAAATATACAAGAAATGTCTCACTTGGAATGAGAAAATAGAGAATGAGAAATTAGTTTTGATTGAGTCTGAATGTACTCAAAATAAGATACAAACCACTAGATTCAAGCAATATTTCCTACTTATGTCATTATTTTTTGCATTTATTTATCAATGCAGCAACATGTGAAATTTAAATGCCTGTAAAAATTGAATTGGAATATCAATTATTTTTATTAAAGTAGCAATATGTAAGATTTGCACAAGTCATCATTAAAGGGCCCTAATCTGTCGAAAGGTATTAATAAAACATGCTCTTTTCAAATACTTCTTTAACTGAAAACAGTAGTTCAGGAATATTTTAATTTCAAAATTGGATTTACAGACCCCAAATCTTTTTATTGTTTTCATTTCGATGTCCAGCCCTCCACTGTTTCACCAATCAGAAAGTCTGTGATCCAGGTTGCCAGAACTCACCACGTCGAGCTAATCTCACTGGTAAAGTACCATGTGGCGCAGAACAAAAAAATGTCTTGTTTCTATCTTTGTGAAAAAGGTGTTGGTTTTAGTCTCCTTCTGAGACTACAGAATATTGCCTGTGATAGCAGTACCACTTTTGGCCAGTTTTAGACATTTTAATGCATACATTTATTTCTTTATAAAAACTAAACATATAGTAATTTAGTAGTATTATTTGGTATTAAGGAATGTTTCCTTAAACTGAAATAGAACTGTGTACTTCAATATTAAAGCAGAGGTAAGCGATATTTTCAAGTTAATATAGGTCTTAAATTGTCCAATAGCCATCAGTTTTAGAGAGTGCTTGGACCGTCACTCTGCTCTGCTCTGAGCCGAGGAGAAAACGTTTCTTGTATCCTCCACTTTTCATCCAATCAGGAGTGAGAACGGCATGATGGCAGTTTTTGTGTTACATTTTTCCCTTTTACTTGTCTGACTTATTTGTTGTTATGTTGTTTTTACAAAGCTTTATTTTATCTAAATGTCTCCCTAAACTTAAATCCTTTATTCCCATAATCTCCCGTAACAAACCTGGGTTATTCTGTCAGTCATACACTACCCTAACTCTTCATTATTATACATTATGTTACGAATAACATCGTGTGAAGTAAATACTAATACAGCATTTGGCCATTGGCTTTAAAACTCACATAGTCGGGTTCTCTAAAAATACAGAAGAACTGGAGTTTCATAAGAGTGTTGTTGTGTTGTGTGTAACAAAGGGCTTACACAACTTGAATGTGTGAACGTTGTGATTGGTGTGGATTGAAGAACATTGGAGCAGTAATGTGTGCACACAGGTCGGGTTAGGAGGTGACTTGGGTTTTCTCATGTGCTGCACTGACTTTGGAGGTGGTGGATGAATTATTCACAGCACAGATGGATCCAGATCCTGAGCCGCAGAGTTCCCCAAAGTGAATATTAAGTATGCGCTGCCGGAGAAATTATGAAAATGTGATGGAAGCTGAAATGAAACAATGACCTTTTTTAGATGAATCTAAAAAAAAAACACACAAAAAAACAGCTAACTTAAAAGAAAGTCATATTTGCAAGATGTAGTTAATCCATCATTGCATGTTGTCCACATTTTGCAACAAGATCCTGTTCTTTAAATGCACACTGAGAAAAAGAGAAAGCTTTGTCCTAACCTGGTCTTAGCCATCTGTAAACTCCGGCCAATTATCCTGAAATTAGTACGACGATGACCAGACGAGCTTTGTCGCAGATATTGTTTGTTTGAATACAAGCAAATGCTGACTCTTAGTGTGACAACAAAAGAAACAAAGTTCAAAATAATCTATTAATCTATTTTTGGCTAATATTTATAAATTTGTATGCTCATTCATTCATTTGTTATATTCTGAAAGCACATGGACTACATCTCCCAGCATGCCCATGAGCAGCTGAGAAAAACCCATGGCCCAAAGGATGTTGCTGGGGAAAAAATGCTCCAGATTGTACCCATTTTCTGACCCCGTTGCCTTGGAGACAAGTTTCTTCTGACATTGATGGATGTACATATGAGGGATGAACAGACCTTTGGAGATTGTAACCTTTTAGACGTTGTGTTGTTTGTGATCTCTCATAGTTGCGGCTGTCAGCATTGTCTTGTTCATCCTTTTGTTAGAGAACTGTTAAAAAATGCACTTGGGTTTCCAGTCGGCGACACAGACAGGCCGGGAGCTCTCGTACACACACGCCCACACATGTGCAGACTACAGACTGCAATAGCTCTCTCCACACCATACACATGGCACAGGTCAACTTACATAACACTGTGATACATTACACAAATACTGAGAATTAGTGAGTGACATTGCTATTGTACAAAATGGGGACCTCCATAAATATCATTCACAGTATATACTTGTTGTACTTGCCAAACTAAAATTACTGCTCTAGCTCACTATAGGAGAGAGATCGTGGATTCTGGATTGATAGCGGCCAAATTGTTATAATGTTGATAATTGGCTCACAGCTGTTAAAAAACCCCAAATAAAACATTTGCATTTTTCCCAAATGGCTCCTTCGGCTCTACAACGTCGATGAACATGTGCGCTAATATTCTGTAATCTCACTCCATGCCGGTGGGGGTGTACCCGGAAAGTGAATTACCCAATGCTTTTGTATGGCATCTTCCTGCCTCTCGAACACGGCTTTACAGGATGGTCCAAAAGTCGCTCTTGGTCCAAAGCTGCGTTCCACATGTGTGTCAATGCTGAGGGGAGTGTACTTTTTTTTGGACCAGTCTAGTTTAGCCGGTGTGGACTTGTTAAATGAATGAGGCGAGTGCCGGTTAACACATGAACAAATGTGTTTATTCACATATTCTTCGCCCGCGGCCATTTTGAAAGAGCCCAGAGAAGGCAAAAATGGTGGCGCATTAGTTTCAACGGCAGAGACAGGCACAATCACGTTCTTTAATATTTACAGTCTATGATTTTGCCTTACTTTAAAACCTTCTGAAACTGCTGAGACACGATCAGACCTCCATATCTTTTTTCTTATTAGGCCCGAGCCCCGAACGGGGAAAGGGCCTATTGTTTTTGCTCGAGAGATGTCAAATTCTGCACTTTGAGCCTTTATTTCACCCCCTGAACATGCATGAAAAGTTGTAAAATTTTGACCAAACATCAGACCTGGTGAAAAATTTGATATTTTGGTGTTTATTTTTATGGGACTCAAAAAATGCCAGAACAGCGCCACCTACAACAGCCAATGGGAGTTTCAGAGGTCAAGTTTGTCGTAGAGCCATGAAATTCGGTACACATGTTCCTCAAGTCAAGATACGACCGAAATGTTATCATGGCTCCGCCCTCTGACAAACAGGAGGCCCATAAATTTCACTGCAAAATGGAAAAATGAACAGCAAAAGTTTTCATACATGTCGGTTGGAAAGCGACTCCTCCTCGGCCGTTTCACCGATTGGCCTCCATATCACTCCACATTGTCTAAACACATGTACCATCAAAATGACCTCAGGGATTTTTGATCAGTGAAACGTTGTTTGAGCAGCGGAGCGGCAAAATGTGAGTGTTTATTGGCCGTTTTTCACAACCTTCTATTTGCTCCCGTTTACACATACAAATTCCGATTTGCACAAAACTTGAATCCATGGTTCAACTCTAGGGTCTAGGTCATTTGAAAGTGAAATAATTGAACTTGGCTCATTAACGCCCCCTACAGACTATTTCAGAGTTTTTAGTATGAAAAACTCTGAAAACTTTGACTCCATTTGTAGGGGCACTAATGAGCCAAGTTCTTTTATTTCACTTTTAATTGACCTAGACCCTAGAGTTAAACAATGTATTAAAGTTTTGTGCAAATCAGACTTTGTATGTGCAAACGGGAGCAAATTTAATATTGTCCAAAACGGCCAAAAAAGGTCACAATTTGCAGCTCCCCTGTTCGAACAACGTTTCACTGATGAAAAATCGCCGAAGTCATTTTCAAGGTACATGTGTTGAGATGATGTGGAGCGATTTTGAGGCGAATCGGTGAAACGGCCGAGGAGGAGTCGCTTTCCAACCAACATGTATGAAAATGATTGCTGTTCATTTTTCCATTTTGCAGTGAAATTTATGGGCTTCCTGTATGTCAGAGGGCGGGGCCATAATAACATTTTTTTCATGTCTTGACTTGAGGAACATGTGTACCGAATTTCATGGCTCTACGACAAACTTGACCTCCGAAAAATCCCATGGGGGTTATTATTAGGCCCGAGCCCCGAACGGGGAAAGGGCCTATTGTTTTTGCTCGAGAGATGTCAAATTCTGCACTTTGAGCCTTAATTTGACCCCCTGAACATGCATGAAAAGTTGTTAAATTTTGCCCAAATATCAGACCTGGCGAAAAATTTGATATTTTGGTGTTTATTTTAATGGGACTCAAAAAATGCCGGAACAGCGCCACCTACAGCAGCCAAAATAATACCCCTATGGGACTTTTAGAGATCAAGTTTGTCGTAGAGCCATGAAATTCGGTACACATGTTCCTATAGTCAAGACAAGAAAAAAAATATTATTATGGCTCCACCCCCTGACAAACAGGAAGCCCAGAAATTTCACTGCAAAATGGCAAAATGAACAGCAAAAGTTTTCATACATGTTTGTTGGAAAGCGACTCCTCCTCGGCCGTTTCACCGATTCGCCTCAAAATCGCTCCACATCATCTCAACACATGTACCTTCAAAATGACCTCAGGGATTTTTGATTAGTGAAACATTGTTTGAGCAGCGGAGCGGCAAAATGTGACCTTTTTTGGCCGTTTTTGACAACATAAAATTTGCTCCCGTTTGCACAAACAAACTCTGTATAGCACAAAACTTTAATACATTGTTCAACTCTAGGGTCTAGGTCATTTGAAAGTCAAATGATTCAAATTGACACAATATAACCCCTATATAACCCCTACAGACTATTTCAAAATTTTAGATGGGCATTTTCAAATTTAGTTTTTTCAAAATGTTTGAAATTTTGCACAAAAATCTGTTTTGCCCTCTTGATTCATAAAGTCAATAGGGTCCAAGGCTTATTTTTTACCCTGTTGCCTTGGCGACGACAAACGCTCCCCATTCATTGCAAATGTACACCTCACACAAACATCAAACCAGCCGTTCGGCCGTTTCACCGATTCGCCTCAAAATCGCTCCACATCATCTCAACACATGTACCTTCAAAATGACTTCAGGGAATTTTGATCCGTGAAACGTTGTTTGAGCAGCGGAGCGGCAAAATGTGAGGGTTTTTTTGGCTCTTTTTGACAACATTAATTTTGCTCCTGTTTGCACAAACAAAGTCTGATTTGCACAAAACTTTAATCCATTGTTCAATTCTAGGGTTTAGGTCAGGTTAAAGTGAAATATTGGAAATTGGCCCATTAGCGCCCCCTACAGACTGTATCAAAGTTTACATGGGGAGCCAAACCAGCTCTACTTATCATATTCATTACAATTTGACTAACATTCTTCTATGGCTACGGACACAAATCATCACACGGCGGGACCACCTCCTTTTAGCGGTGCTGCGTGGTACGGTGTGGTGCGGCGTAGTGCGGGGCGTTGTGAAGCGGCGCTTTGCGGCTTGGTGCGGGGCGGCGTGAGGCGGGACAGCGTGGTGCAGGGAGTCGCGCGGTGCGGCGAGGGCCGTTCGACGCCGCTTGCGGCTTTAATTTTCCTCATTACTTTCATATAGATTTTGTTTCCAGTTTGACATAAAATAGTACCATGGGACACAAAAACAATGCCATGAAACATCTACAATACAACAGACTTCACAGACAACCACACAGAGACACACGGTTGGACAAATGAATGAGGCGCTGTGGTGGTTTCTACCTTTTCTGACGCAGACCAGCTCATGGACACCACAGTTACGCTCTCCACCTGCAAAAACAATGCATCTAAATGAGACACTCTGTGATGGAGGAAACAAATGAGCACACACACGCACACACACACACACGCACACACACACACACGCACACACACGCACACATTAAGAAGAGGAAAATGTCAACAATGATATTACAGATGGGTGGGAGACTACAAAAATGTGACAAAAATGTGACAAATGTGTTGGACAAGAGATCATTATGGAGAGAGTTCAAAGAATATTCTATTTTTTTTCTTCCCAAATAATGATGATAATAATCTGTGCTAAACTCTAAATAAAAATAGAAAAAAAAAAAAGGAATGGATCAGTTTTATAGAGCACTTTTTGGCTCGCTCAAAGACGCTTCACGTGGCGTTATTCATTCACTTCATACACAGAGGTGATAATGTAGCCACAGCTGCCCTGGGGCACACTGACAGAAGCGAGGCAACCAGTATGTGCCATCGGCCCCTCTGACCACCAACAGCCATTCACACACACACACCCGACTCATTCTAATGTGGGTGAAGTGTCTTGCCCAAGGTCACAACAACAGTTTGGCACTTTGCAGCCGCGGCCGCCCCAATTCCTGTGTGAATATGTTTCCATGGCGACCAGCAGCTAATGCCACCGAGGCCAGTTAGATCTGTCCTATAAGCAGTAGAGTTTGACATCTTTTTGAAATGTCGACCCTCATCTATGAGCTTGACATAGCTTCCTAGGCCGTCAAAACAAGCCCTAGAATCTCCTTTTGTGTTCAAGTAAGTAAGTAAGTAAGAAATCTTTACTTATATAGCGCCTTTCCCAGACCAGAGTCACAAAGCGCTTTAAAATTATTATTATTTGGGCATTTGTCTCTCACTCCATAAAGAGATGGGAGCAGAGTCGCCAGTACAGGAAGGACATGCCAGACCTATTGTACATGTTTTTAGTGGTAGGGGAAACCGTAGCACCTGGAGGAAACCTAACAGCCAAATAAAAAGACAAAAAGACTGATACAACTGGAGGATTAAATCTCTAGTTTCAATACACTGTGGTATTGATTATTTTAATCCCTTGTGTGATTTTAATATTTTTAATGACCTGTGTGATTTGAATTGTGTTGGGTGATTTCGGTGTGTGTTTTATGTGATGCTTTGTGCCTTGTGCGATGTGGACTGTGAAGAGTTTTGTGTTTCCCTGTGTGTGGGAAAGGCGTTCTACAAATAAAGATTGATTGATTGATACGTTCAAAGCTGCTCAGTGGAAGAACGTCTGATAAAGAGACGACCAGAGAGACGTTCGTGGTATAAGCTCCACTCCAGTCCTGCCCTCCTCCACATTAATGAACCTACACACAGACTGCAGACAGCTACACAATCCCCCAGCCTCTGCTCCAGACAGCGGCTGTAATTCTGCTCTTTTACTCACTCTTGTCTGGGGGCTAGAGCCGCCGGGAGCAGCTACAGGTGCAGGTACAAATAACTGAAGCAGTGACCTTCCTGGATACGTGTAGTTCTCAATCGGAAGCTTCAACGCACTCAAATGCACCGTGCCATTCAACGGCTATAAACTCTGGGAGGGGTGACCTTTCTGTGAAGGGAGAACGTCATTGTTATCAACGCAGTGGCATTTAACAGGCAGCTATGGGCAAACAAAAAGTGTAATTAGAATTGTGACGTGCAAGATTATAGATTAGTGATGTGAGATAGACTGTATAGAGGACTGGAATAACCCAGTACTGACGTCATATAGTATAGTGTAAATGCAGAAGATGCCAATTTGAACATAAGATAGCCGGAGCCAATTTCCTTATATGGGTTTCGATGGAGTTAGCTTTGCGCCGTAACAGGAACAGATGTGTTGCTAGCATGGTTGCTAAGGCAAGCTCCTTGCAAATGAAGGTGGGCATCTGGATTTACAAAGAAAGAACCAGAAATATGTGGAAGAAAGAGAGTGTAGGGTCAGAGAGTGTCCGGGCTTGTGTGATTTGTGTTGTCTTAGTGACAAATGAACAGTGTATGTCTGATGGGCGTTGGAATCCAATCTGCTTCATCCAACCCCTTTTTGAGCCAGGTACAAGTTTGTTTGCCTGTGATATTGATTTATGTAAAAATAAGTATTGTGCAGGTTTGAAATAGATACAATAAATAAATAGACAATGTCCAAATATACAAAAACAAGAATGATAGACAGTGCTAAATAGGGCTGCACAATATTGAAAATTAGAGCAGTGTTTAGTATTGCGATAACGATAGTATTGGGATATTTTTTTCTTTCACCTAAAATTGCAATCTGCATTGAAACGCAAGAGACAAATAACAAAAACATGAATGACAATGGGATGCATATATATTTGTTTGTTTAATTGTTTGTTGTATTTGTTGATGTGTCTGTCTTTTTTTTGTCTTTAATAAAGGCAAAAAATATACATATATAATATTTTTTTTCTATTGCGCATATTTTCGATATTGCACGCACCAATATCGAGATAATGATATTTCTTCGATATATTGTGCAGCCCTAGTGCTAAATCCATAGCCTGGCCTTAGCAATCTGTACACTCCGTTCATTCATCATTTCACTGCATGTAACGTCTGGGTCTAGTCCCTGTGTTAGCGATTACAATTGGTTGAAGTTCGATCGACCATTCAGAGAGCGTGGAAGGCAGGTGTTGTAGTTAGTTGTGGGTGATGTCAAGAGTTTGCGCCGAACGGGCAGGTTGTAGTTTGGCAGTGGCGAAGAATGCGATAGTAAAGTAATCCGGTCTGGTTCTATCAAGAAATTAAAGCCGGAGCAAGAGGAATGTTTAGCAAATGTAATGGCTGGAACAATTGTGGCGCTACTCCCCACGGGCTCCGTTAGCAGCAAAGGAGATGGCTAGGCTAAATGCTAAATGCTAACAACAGACTCAGGCGCACTACATACGTCACGGTAAACTCAGATCCAATCGTTTCAATATGCCAAAGTAGGTAACCCCTCCCACCTGTAAATGGAGCACAATGGAGCACCTCCAGACCTTAGTAAGAAATGTAATTTGTACTGTGGTGTGATACGACCGGGCTACTAAACCCATAGAGTGTTAATATTAAATCTAAATTGGTGGTTGTGACACATGGATACTGAGCTGGAAGCATTTACCTTTCAATGCATGTCAATTGGAGAAAAAATGAATTTGAGCAAAACTTTGTCCCTGAGCACTTCTCTATCGGGCTTCATTGAGTTTTGATTGATGGTGCATCTATATACAGTCTATGATTGTAAGATAGAAATAGTGCCATGTCAAGGAGAATGACTGTAAAAACCTCACACAGAGGCTGGAATACTAACTCATGTCTGATACATACAGTAAATTGTATTAAATCAAATATTTTATGAATTTATGGCGAAACAACAACAACTGAAGAACACACTGACATAAGTTACGTTTCGAGGACCAACAGATTCGTGGAAAAACAGCTGTGAGTGGGAAGACGACTTCACGCATGCCATGTATAAATAACGTCCTCCCTTCTATGGCTCTGATCATACACACTCAGAGTGGTCAGCCATATTGTTCCTGTTCCTGTGTCTAATCCTTCTGATGCACAGGCTCCGTCACTCAAGACAATTCTTTTTAGTCATATATTACATAATTCTCAAGTGTCAGGGCTCTATCTGAAAATGTAATACAAAATGTATACCAAAGGAAGCAGGCTTTTATGTCAATTTGAAAACATTGGTATTCCAAATGAGGGGGAGCTCAGTTGATAGAGCATTGGCCTTTGAACCTGAAGGTTGTGGGTTCAAGCCCACCATAAGACCTACTTCACATCTCCCACTGATGATTGCTGTCGTGTCCTTGGGCAAGACACTTGACCCCACTTTGCCTGAAGCTCCCACTGAAAGATCTCAGCTCCTGTGGACTCACCACCTGCAGGAGGATCAGTGAGAGGCTGGTGCTCTGTGGACTGGGTGCAGACCCAGAAATGGATTAAGGGGAAGAAGATGGATGGATGGATGGTATTCCAAATGGTGCTTTGTCACATTAATGCATATCAAAGAATATATCACATGCAATATTTACAGGAATTAGAAATTAGTGACTAGTGAAAGTAAACAAGATATATTTTATAAGTCGTATAAAACACTGTGGTACCGTAAAAAGCATTATAATTATAAATCATTGTCCACACTTGAGTAGATGTGGTGAAAGAAATATTTTTTTGTCATATCAGATATTTTGTTTTGTTTTGTTATAATAATAATAATAATAATGTAGCAGTTTTATATGCGCTTTTTTGGACACTCAAAGACGCTTCACGTGTCATTATTCTTTCACTTCATACACAGTGGTGATAAAAATAATTTCAACAACAGCTGCCCTGGGGCACACTAAGAGAAGCAAGGCAACCAATCTGTGCCATCGGCCCCTCCCACCTCCACCAACCATTCACACACACACCAGACTCATTCTATTGAGGGTGAAGCGTCTTGCCTATGGACGCAACAACATTTTGGCCCCACTTAGCGCCAGGTGTCTCCCATCACAGTACTAACCAGGCCCTGCCCTGCACAGTTTTGGACGTCTGACAGGATCTGGCTTTCACCTGCAGGTTTGGTCAAATGAAGTATATGGGGGAAAAAAACAGAAATTGAGATTTTATTTTTGCATACCATTATAGGTCACAATTTTTCCTATATCGCCCAGACCTAGTAACATTGAAATTGATTCTAAATTGCACAAAATCATTGAAGTGGTGTCCAATGGGAGCTGCCCTTGACTCTTTAAGTACACACAGATACACAGCACTAATCAAAATCAAGCTCCTGAAGCAGCTCTGCAGACTGGCTCTCCCACCGCCTCGCCCCTGAACCAGAACTCATACTGTCGGGGAGTTTGACCCAGTTTGACGGAGGCTCGGACTGAAGCCTGGTTCTGGAGAGGACTCAGCTCACAAGAGGAAATTGACCTGACAAAGAAGAGAGAGTGATGTCTGGAGGCCGTTCATTTGTTGTGCAATAAACATTGTCACAAATATCAGATATTGTC